AATGGTTTACTGTAGCAGCGCACAAGTATATTCTTAGCTCATTTCCAAAATCTATAATTGTAAGGTCATCCCCGGAATAGAAGTTAGGAGGACAGCTTTCAATGCGGACACCTGTTCTGGTGAAAACTGTATATGAGAGGATTTCTGAGTTCTGGTTGTGTCTCTAGGACAGAAAAGGATGGAATAACTCCCTGAAAGGACACTGATGGAAAAAACTGACAAAAGGTTCTAACCAGGGCCATCTTTAACTTCTTGCCGACCGCGCATAGCCGAATGACGGCTTCACCGCGGCCGGCCAGTTCTGAGTGGACGTCATATGACGTCCTCCCCCCAGAACGCGCTCTCCTACGGACACAGCTGATCACGTGATGTGGTGAAAGGCCGATCCCACCGGCCTTTTACCAGGTGATCAGCGGTGTCCAATGACACGCTGATCACAGGGAAATGCAAGTGCCGGTTCTCGGCTGCACTTTCCTCACGCTGTCAGATCGTGAGGAAAGTACTGCCGAGAACCGGCAGTTGTCAGAGCGGGGGCATCGGCACCGATCATCAGGGCACTGATGATCAGTGCCCTGATGATCGGTGCCCAGCAGTGACACCCGCAAGTTCCGCCCAGCAGTGCGCCCACTAGCCCCGCCCACCCGTTCCCAGCAGTGCCCCCACCTGTGCCCAGCAGTGCCACCCACCTGTGCCACTCTGCAGTGCCACCTACCTGTGCCCAGAAGTGCCACCTACATGTGCCCAGAAGTGCCACCCACCTGTGCCCACCCACCCCACCAGTGCCACCCACCTGTGCCCACCCACCAGTGCCACCCGTCAGTGCCACCAGTCAGTGCCCAGGGGTTGTGCCAGTCAGTGCCGCCAGTCAGTGCCCAGAAGTGATGCCAGTCAGTGCCGTCTATCAGTACCCATCATCAGTGTCACCTATCAGTGCTGCATATCAGTGCCGCCTATCCGTGACCCCTAATTAGTGCTGTCTATCAGTGCCGCCTATCCGTGCCTCCTCATTAGTACTGCCTATCAGTGCCCTTTAGTGCTGCCTATCAGTGCCCATCAGTGCCGCCTCATCAACGCACATCAGTGAAGGAGAAAAAATACCTGTTTGAAAAATTTTATAAAAGAAATAAATAAACTTTTTTTTTTTTTTTTGCACATTTTTTAATTTATAGCGCAAAAAGTAAAGTGCTCAGTGGCGATTAAATACCACCAAAAGAAAGCTCTATTTGTGTGAGAAAAAAATTATCAAAATTTCATATGGGTACAATGTTGCATGACCGCGCAATTGTCAATCAAAGTGCGGCAGTGCTGAAAGCTGAAAATTGGCCTGGTAAGGAAGGGGGTATAAGTGCCTGGTAGGCAAGTGGTTAAGGAGGGGGCAAAAGGGGCGGCTGCCCTGAGCCCAGTCATAGTTGTGGGGCCCAAAGCAGCTGCCCCATACTTGCCAACTGTCCCAGTTTACATTCCCTTGAAGTCTTCATCCCAAGCTGTGCCCCGATATCTCAGTGTGACGTGCTGTCACTTATGCTGCCCAGCTCTGCCCTACTGCCATGACTCAGATGTAGACCATGTCAGCATTCACATATAAATAACCAGCATTCATATGTAAATAGAGGTGGACCATTGACATTGATATGTAAATAGCGGAGGCATTCATACGTAATTATCAGCAGCATTCATATTTATGTAGCACTGCCCCTTGGGACAAGCTGGAATATATTATGGGTCCTGCGCTCAATAGATCCAACCCTAAGCAAACCCAATCCCTCTGGCACAACTGGTAATGAATAGCAAATACCCCGCCAAGAAATTTGCTGACACAGGGTTAAATGAAACAAGAACAATTTTATGGAGAATGAAATGCAGTGTAGAGGGGTGGGGTTCCCCTTTCAACTTCAAAACTTACTTTTCTTCTTTTATGCAATGCAGTAAATTTGGTCTGCCACTAGAGGGCTTCACAGCCAAGAGTCTCCTGATGGCAGAGTCGCACTTTAAGCAGAATACAACTGATATCAAACAAATAAACTTACTTATACTCTATCAATGAAATGTATTACCCACACCGGTGTATGATTCTGCTTCTGAGGGGCGTTAGCCAAAAATCACCTCAGAGTCAGAACAGAATGCAATAAAGAGGTACCTCTAATAAGGCTACTAAGCCAGATTCCCCCACTTCAGTCCTTGTAACGGTGGAGCTCTAGTTGGTGCACGTTTAGTCCTTACAATGAAGTAAATAGCAGCTGAAGGCTTCTTTGGAGTTTCAGCTGGTGTGGGTTACATCCAATTTCACTAGGTTTCTGGGCTGAGAGGGTCCAACCTCAGTGTCTAAAGGCAACACAAAGCACCCCAAGACCAGGGGCAGACGCAGGATGCAATCTCCCAGTATGTGTCAGTCCCCGGGGCAGACAGTCTCAATTACACTGGTGGTGAGGGGCAAAGCAGGCAGGGGGATCTGTGGCTTGTACAGGGCCCCGGATGGGTGAGATCCCAGCAGTGGGGTGCGGATGTCCCAGTCTATATGCAAAGTGTAAATGGTGTGTCTTACTCTCTCCAGTGGGACAGCTCACCAGACTCTGAACACACAGCAGGGTCCCTCTATCCGCGCTGGGTGCTGTACTGCCTCCTCCTCTCCTTGGACGGGCTCCACATGTCCCTGTCTTTTCTCCAGCCTCGTGTCTCCCTGTTCTCCCCTTCAACTTCCTGCTTCCTCCCCTTCCCAGCATTCTTGGCTGTGTAGTGGATGAGTCATGAACTTGGCAGAATGCCCAGGTTTTACAAATAGAGGAAGGACTGACTGCTGAACATGTGATTCCCTCTGAATCCTCTTGTACAAGGAGCCTGCTACATTTATATTATTATGCCCTCCTAAGGTTCCAGCCACTATGGCCTCCGCTGAGTGCTGTCCACTGTGGAGGTAAACAGGGACATGCCTGAAAGTTCTGCCTGCAACTGTGGTCACATCAGCCTGTTCTAAAGGTTTCGAGTGAAGAGAATAGGGGGAGGTTTGGGGTGCAGAGGTTAGCAGGGAAATTTAGGATGCAAAGGTGTACTGGCGGGGTTGCTAAAGATGTACGTCACATGTAGGGTAGCCCATTCATTTTAATTGGCTGCTCAGTGCACTAAACATGCGTAAATAAAGTTCCCAGCCCTTTTTCAGAATCACACCAAGCCACAGAACTATGAGTTTGGGTGCATGTGGAAATGTGAAAGTCAGCAGATACATGAGGGTGTCATTGCCAATTAATGGCACTGATGTGTATCTGCTAAAAGGCAGCAAGTGTCTGTGGTGTCAGAAAAGCGTTTTTGTATGCGTTCCCGACATTCACAAATGCGAGCATAGGCTAAATGTCTCAATTACTTTGGTGGTCAGTGTATAGCTTCTCATTACATTGGGGTGTAGAATCCCATCCCCATCCGGCACTGCCACTAATCCAATCCCCTCAAGTACTGCCACTGATCCCATCCCCCCACCAGCACTGTTACTCATCCCATCCCCCCAGCAGCACTGCCACTTATCCCACCCACCCCACCACTGTCACTGATCCCATCCCCCCACCATCACTACCATGTTCCCATCAACCCCCCAGCACTGTCACTGATCTCACCCTCCCCCCCAGCATTGCCACTAATTCCAGAAGTCCTAGAATCCCTAGGAGTTTTCAATTAGTGGGTCCCTTCACCATCTCAGTCCATGGTGTGCAGGCAGTGAGGAGATAATGTGCTGTAACCTTCAGCAACCAGTGAGCTGTAATGTGCTGTAACCTCTACCAATCAATAAGTGGTAATGATGCACAGTAACCAATAGCAACCAATCAGTGAGCAGTATTAATGTCTGGTAACCTCTAGCAACCAATGAGTGAGCAGTAATGATGTGCAGTAACCTCTAGCAGCCAATCAGTGAGCAGTAATGGTGTCCAGTAGCCTCTGTCAACCATTCAGCAAGGAGAAATCATGTGCTGTAACCCCAAGCAACTAAGCAACTAATCATTAAGCCATAATGTGTGCTGTAACCACTACCAACCACTCTGATATGCTGTAATCTCTGTTAACCAACTGAAATTGTTGCTTGATCTGCTAAATAAACTGAATTTGAGTCTAGCTGCTAATTACTGTATGTCTCAGAGCAGGTGGAGAGCAAAACTGCATGGGGGGCAAGAAAATGTTTGCCCAGGGTCCAAGCCATATTTAAGACAGTCTTAGTTCTAACCATTCTCTATTCTTTCCAAGCCTAAAATAAATAGTTTTGGCTACACATAAACATTAAGTCAAGAGAAGCAAGGCTTCAAGTCCTTAATGACAGAAGGGGTGAACATAAAAATTAATTGATCGGCAAAGATTAAGTTTCCATGGAGCAAGAGCTAATTCACTCCTTCTTTGCGATATAGGATAGATGACCTATAACTAAGCCACCGGTGGGTGGGACAAACACATCAGAGGGCATAGTTTTGGCAGAGACATGTAGGCTGAGGCCACCTCTTATTTTCTGTCTACACGGACTGATCAGGAGAGTGGCAATCCTTCCATTCATATGATTTAATCTTCTGGAGCAGTACATGGACATGCGGCACCCTGTCTTCCAGTGGATCCAGGGAAGCAGTCCCCTTTGGTTTAAGGGGCACCACAAACTTTTCTTATCAGGTCTCAGCTGCGGAAGATAGCCGCTCTGGGCAATATCCCACATCTATGAAAGAGACATGAAGGGTGGATTTATACAAGAAACAGAAGTCTGTTTTACATGTAATGAATGAATTTGATGTTGTATGCCCTAAAAATGACTAATCTTTAGCTTTAACTGAGGTTAGAAAAATTGCATAAGCAAGAGGAGTGCTAAACCTACTGTATATACCAGGTACTTGTAGGCTACTGTGGGGATAAAGGTTCTACAACAATCAATTCATACAATAAATGTGGAAATCAAATTACTGTACTGTTTGCTAATAAAGCTTTTTTTTATTGTAGGACATCTAGCTCTTTATTTTTCAACAAACTGTAAAATGGACAATATGGAACCTATTCCAGAGGCTCCAGCTGCAGAACATAAAATCTCACTGGTCACTCCTATTCGTGCCGCAATTCGAATACGCAGAAAAATCCGAACATTTAAAAAAAACCATCTTCATTTGGATCTGTCTGGCAAGAGACCTTTGGACAATAATAAAGCCTGCCTACTTCGTCGGCAGCTGTCTACCGAGCAGTCCATCTATAGGGCCTCCAGTTTTGATACCCCTAAGTTTTTTAAATTTGACACTCCAACCTTGGAGCAGGTTGCCTTAAGTAATCTAAAGCGTAAGAAAAAACGCAAGAAGTCCAGAGCAGTTCTTTATCCAGGAAACGCCAAAAAATATTTACCAGTGGAACAGAAAAGCAAAGCAAAACAATGTCTAATGTTATTAGTTGGGATCATTTGCTTCCAAATCTTGAACGCTATTGAGAACTTAGATGACAATGTGCTAAAATATGAACTAGATGGACTTGAAAAAACAATGCATCGGGAAGTATTTGGGCAAAAGTATGCCATTGAAGGAATAATGGACCTCCTGAAGGACTACCTGGCAACTCATTGTCATAATAAGCCATTGGTGATCTCAATGAATGGTCCTAGTGGTGTTGGTAAGAGCCACATGGGACGGATATTGGCCAGGCACTTTCGTGCAGTCATGGACAATGATTTTGTTATGCAATACTATGTCATGCACAACTGTCCAAAAGATAGTGATATTGAGGTTTGTAAGAACAGTTTGGTTGACTTGATTTCAGACATGGTGACCCGGGCAGAGATTGAGGAAAAAATCCCTGTCTTTATATTTGATGAAATGGAACAGATGCCCCTTCCGCTTTTAGACACGTTACAAGGTTACTTTTACTTAAACCAAAACAATGAGTATCTCAACGCCATCTACATCTTAATCAGCAACATTGGGGGAAATGAGGTGACCAGGTTTATCCTCCAAAATTCATCCAGCGATGTTTTGAACGTCGCGCAAGAACTGCAAAGCATTATCCAATCTTCTTTGAAACAACACCACAGAATTTGGGATATTGCTGAAATTGTCCCTTTCACTTTGTTGGAGAAAAGCCACATTGCCCATTGCTTTTTGGATGAGCTCCTACGGGAAGGGTTTTACCCTGACAATAACAACATTGAAAGCTTGACAGGACAGCTAAAATATTACACTACAGAGGACAAGCAATACTCCATCACTGGGTGCAAACAGGTGGTAGCTAAAGTGAATCTTCTTCATTCATACACATGATTGTTGGGATTACACCATTCTGACTGCTGTCTGGAAAGTTTGTCACTCAAATTCTAAGTAAATTAAAGAGAGTCTGTGAGTTTAATAACCCTTTGTAATGGTTAGGCTGAGATCCTGAGTTTAATTCCACCAGTAACATATTTGTACATGGGGTTTGTACTGAATATTTTCTTAATGTTTGTGTGGGTTTCCTCCCAAAGTCCAATTGCATAGTTTTAGGACTGCTATGGTTCTAGGCAGCAATCCCCAATAATGTAGAGATGCAGATGTTAGGGTTGAAAGTAGCCTGCACAGCAGTATAATGTTTAAATGTTCCCTCCTTTGTAAACTCTCAGAATATTGTAGGCCCTTGACGTTGTACCTACAAATAACAATCCAAAGACCAATACCAGTAGCTTTCAGCAAGGGGTCTTTTGTATGTAAAAGAAGCACAGTTCAGAACATTTTTCTAACTCTTCTTAACCGAAAAAGTCTTATAGTAACGCCGTAACACTTAACCCATCCTCTTTACTAAACCCTTTATACCCCAACCCAAAATATATTTCTCATTCTCCCTTTCCACACTTAGCACCTGACCCCACCTTACTCATTATTTTATACTCTGAATTATTCAAAGAAGACGTAAGACATCTTGTGAGTGCAGGGCCTTATGGACACGTCCACTATGGGGAATTCACCACAGCATGTTGCATTCACATTGTAATGATGTAGAGAGTGATCCTGATGTCACCAACATCCCTCTTAGCTTCATTAAGGATCTCCCAATGATGGAGAAGCAGGGATGAGGAAGAAGACCTCACCCATCATTCAACCAGTGAAAAGACATCCAAAAAGATTAAGTATATATTAAAAAAAAAAAAAAAAAAAAAAAAAAAAAAAAGGGCCATCGTCAGGGGTAGGGGCAGCAAATTGGTGAACATGTTGGATTCCAGAATTCAGATTAATTGAATCCACATAAACTCTAATAACAACCACAACATTTAGACTAAGCACACTAGCACAAACTAGTGTATAATTCTGCAACCCCCCCCAAACACACGTTCCTCTTTATATACGTTATCCTGCATCAGAAGAGGCTGCACTAAATTGTCAAAGTCCTGTGCTGAAAGCTACTAGTACTAAGGGTTCTGCACTGAACATAACTGTTCCAGTCTTCAAAGGCCTATGAGGAAATCCAGCCTTGATCACAAGGAGCAAATCGAACAGCATACACTCCCCAGGGGCAGGTACTGATGTTAATGTAGAAAATTAAAGCGTATAAGCTCCTTGGGGGCAGGGACTGATGTGAATTTAGAATGCATACTTTGAAAAACTGCAGAATGTGATAGCACTATGTACATAGAGAAATAAATGGATCTCAACATTATCAATCTCTCTGCTCTGCCTGTTTACATTGTGCACTAAAAGGTCTGAAAAAGTGATGGGCTTGTTAAACTGACAGACTCACTTTAAAATCTCTGCTGTCTGCAAGTCTCATAAGTTGGCACAGCCTTGAAGATAAATCATTTTTTATTATACTAATAAAAAATATATCAACAAGGGCATTAGAAATGCATCTGGATACTAACTGGTAACTGAAACAATCCAGGGACATAAGTTAAAGCTTTTTATTTTTTGGAAAGAGATGTTTTAATAATTAAATGGTTTTCTGAGAAGTCATATCAGGTCTAGAAAAGTTGCTAAAATAAAATTAACTTTCTTTTTTATTAAAAGAGATTACATAAATGTTTTTACCTTTCCTTTTTTTCCCCTCTAGGTTTAGAACATTCTAATACCCTACAGATGGACTAAACTACTGTACAAGGTGTAACATGGGGGATTTTTAGCTCAGTGGAAGATGCGTTTGCAAGTGAGTTCTCGCCAGTCAGGAACTATATTTTAGGGCTTGGTAGCCCACTTTTATTAAAAGGAAATGCAAAAAAAAAATTCCAACATAAGGTTCCCACTCAGGGATTCTTCTCCAGTAACATATACACAGTCCAAATGAAAATGCTAGCCTACTTGGCTACTCTTCAGCAGCACCGCTGCTCTAGATACTGGTCCCTCCAAACACTAACTCTTCCAGGCACACAGCTTAGAGCTTCTCGGACACACACAGCTCCTTTGGCCTAGTCCTCAGGCCATTAGCTGTCTTTTGCAGACATCCATGCTCCTGCTGCCACATGCAGCTTTTCTGACTCCTGTAGGAGACCTTCTGTCTCTCTTGGGTGGAGCCCTGAGGGATTCCTAAACCTCCATTATAAGGGCTGTGTGCACCTGGGCACACACCCTTCTGTTCCTTCACAAATCCCGGACACTGGGTTGGAAATTCCATCCCGCCCAAGGCACTTTGGAATCTCCAAACTAGGGAGCCCCGTCCAGGACTACCAAAACCTGGAGAAAGCTGCAAAAGCAGTTTTCTCCATTCACAACATATGCTTCATAGTCCTGCACTCAGCCAAAGTGCAAACCCTGTGTCCTTTTGCTGACCACTTACACAGTGACAGACCCTCATACTGTCACAGCGGACAGACTAAGTATGTTGGCAAAAAAAGCAGCCAATCAGCACAGCACTTCATATATTTAACCATCATTTTATGGAAAAATTAATTGATTGGTCAACTCAAGTTTTTAACTCCAATTATCAAAGGTTTTAAAGCCCAACTCCATCCAAAAATAGTCCTTTAGATTTCGAGCATTCCCGGTAAGAAGATTCCCTACACTTCCTATGCTGTGTCGTTGGGTGCCCATGTGTGGAGAAGAAAGTGAGAAGAAAAAAACTTTCAAAAAGAGACACAAACAGCAATAAGGCACTTTTTAGTACAGTGAAGAAGGGTAATAAACACGTTCAGATGATTATTGTTGTGTGGGGACCCAATTATAGAGATTTCCCCTTACTTCCTGTACCAATGACTCCCCATATGCTCAATTCACAAAGTTAACACACCAGGATAAAGATGCTTATTTCCAAAATGGTGACAGCTATGTTCAGCCAATGAAGTCTGAAAATGATAGTGCCATGACTGAAATGAACACCTTCCTGCCTAAGGGTAAAACAAATCTTAATGCCTAAGCACAATTTTGCAACTTTGACATGTGTTAGTGAAACTGTACATATTGTCACAACTACTTTGTGCATCCAGGTGGATCATACCTTGTTTTTTTTCAGGACAAATTGGGCTTTCATTTAGTGGCAAATGGTAACGGATATCTCCTAATTTTTTTTTATTATCAAAGGAAATCTGGCCCATAATAGTAAAAAAAATCTTTTTTTTTTAAATTTAGCTGTATATTTCTTGCTAGTACCATAATTTACCGCCAAAAAACAACCCAAGATAAATTCTCCTCCCCCTGATAATCATAGTGATACCATATATGTGTATGTTAGTTGTTGTTGTTTGTACCTGTAGTAGGGCCCAGAAACAATAGTGCACATTTTTCATTTTTTTTTAATCCTGCCTACAACTCGGTGACACTGACACTAATTGGCACTGATACTAATTTAATATTTTTTATACATTTTTTAAAATTCTACTTCAAATATGCTTATCATGACCTTTGACCCCAGCCTTGACCTTTGACCCAGATCTTCTCCTTAACAATAACCCTGGCAAACCTTGATCATATTTTTTTAATTTATTTTTTTTTTCTTTATTTATTTAACACCCTTTTTTAATTTACAGCTTCATCTCCTGCAAGGATAGGAAGTTACAACGTATCTTCCTGTCCATTCAGAAGAAGAAGTAAACCTAGGGGCGGGCTCCCAGTGACTGATCACTGTGATAGCCAATCAGAGGCTATCACAGCAATCAGGTGGCCCGGAACCAGGAGTCCCGGGTCCCAATCGTTACTACAAGATCTGGGGTTCTCGGCGAGAGCCCAGTGTCTGTACTGGAAGCATGCTATGCGGTGCACTTCCAGCACAAAGAGAGATATGCATATATGCAGTTCCACAGAAAACAACCCACTTCAAAGGCCACAAATATGGGTACGGTCGATGGGAAGGGGGTTAAAATCATTATCCTTGTGTTAATACTTTGTAAATTAAGCATAATGGGGTTGATGTACTAAATGAATAGTCATGAATCTAACTTCGCTTTGAAAAAAGTTTACTCACACACAATTGATGATTGAGGCAGGGGCGGACTGACCATTTGGAAACTCGGACACTGCCTGAGGGCCCGGGGTCAGTAGGGGGCCCCATGAGATGCCCCTGATACCTTTTTCATAGGCTTTTTTGAGCTTGGGCAAGGACACAGGGGCCCCATGATCCCCTATTGCCCGGGAGCCCCATGAGTTGTCAGTCCGCCCCTGGATTGAGGTCACCACAGCATCACTTCATTCCCTACACTAATGGCAATTTTCTTTGCAAAGTGAACATGCACTACTCTTTTAGTAAATCAACCTCTACGTGTGAAAAATGTGATAGGGCATTGCCAGGACAAGGAATGACGGCAAATCTCCCTGGTGTAAAAGACAACTGTTACAAAACAGACAGTTATTAGTCTCCTACTCTATCCAGGATTAAAAAAAAAAAAAAAGTTTTAAATGCTTGTTTTTTTGTTTCGTATTAAATGTAGATTAGTGATGTGCTCAGGCTTGTTTGGCTCCTAGCCCAAACCTTCCTGAGAGAGTCTACCAGGAAGCTGTCACCTGCAGTGGGCCAATCGTCTGTGGCTACGGCATTCTCTGCCTCACAGCCATGCGTATACACAGGGCATGTATACATGAGACTGCATGGCCACTTATGATTGGTCTGGTACAGTGACAGCTTCCTGGCTTAGGTGGGTTCGGACTAGGATCCAAACACGCCTGAACTCATCCCTAATGCAGATTTGTAGATTAGCCACTTAGAAGGAGCACAAGAGGGAGTACTGGGTTCTACGATAGCAGCCTTTCTCAACCTTTTCAACGCAGTGAAACCCTTAAAATAAATTTCTGGCCTCTAAAACATACTCTATCTACAACTCATGATACAATAATGTGATGTTCACTGGGATGAATCCTCCTTACACTTGTGGTCATTTCTGGCCTCTAAAATGTACTCTATATACAACTCATGATACATTAGTGTGATGTTCACTGGGATGAATCCCCCTTACACTGGTGGTCATTTCTGGCCTCTAAAATGTACCGTATTTTTCGCTCCATAAGGTGCACTTTTTTCCCCCCAAAAAAAGGGGGAAAATGTCAGTGCATCTTATGGAGCGAATGTAAAGCGGCCGGTCCGGTATTTCTGCCGCCACCATGTCAGAATATCGGGCCGGCCGCTCAGCTGTTTCTCTCCTGCAGGGCCTTACCTGTTCCTCGCTCCAGCGCTGCAGTCTTCCCGTGGCGGCTTCTGTGACAGCCGGGTGCCCACTGCGCATGTGCAAGAAGCGCCAAGCTTTGTGAATGGTCCGGTGTCTTCTGGGACACATGACAGGTCCCAGAAGGTTCCGGGCCATTCACAAAGCGCAGCGCTTCTGGCGCATGCGCAGTGGGCACCCGGCTGTCACAGAAGCCGCCGCAGGAAGAAGGAAGGACAACTCCGCGGAAGTGGGAGCGGGTACCTGTCAAATTCAGGTACCCGCTCCCCCTCCCTCCCCAAAGGTACGCAGTCTCTGGTAATCTCCTTTACTGTCTGCAGTCTCTGGTCTTCTGTAGTATGTCCGCAGTCTCTGGTCATCTCCTGTACTGTGTCCGCAGTCTCTGGCCATCTACTGTACTGTGTCCGCAGTCTCTGGTCATCCCTTGTACTGTGTCCGCAGTCTCCGGTCATCTCCTGTACTGTGTCCGCAGTCTCCGGTCATCTCCTGTACTGTGTCCGCAGTCTCCGGTCATCTCCTGTACTGTGTCCGCAGTCTCCGGTCATCCCCTGTACTGTGTCTGCAGTCTCCGGTCATCCCCTGTACTGTGTCCGCAGTCTCCGGTCATCTCCTGTACTATGTCCGCAGTCTCTGCTCATCTCCTGTACTGTGTCCGCAGTCTCTGCTCATCTCCTGTACTGTGTCCGCAGTCTCTGGTCATCTCCTGTACTGTGTCCGCAGTCTCTGGTCATCTCCTGTACTGTGTCCGCAGTCTCTGGTCATCTCCTGTACTGTGTCCGCAGTCTCTGGTCATCTCCTGTACTGTGTCCGCAGTCTCTGGTCATCCCCTGTACTGTGTCCGCAGTCTCTGGTCATCCCCTGTACTGTGTCCGCAGTCTCTGGTCATCCCCTGTACTGTGTCTGCAGTCCATTGGTTCAGAATATTTTTTTCTTGTTTTTCTCCTCTAAAACCTAGGTGCGTCTTATGGTCAGGTGCGTCTTATGGAGCTAAAAATACGGTACTCTATATACAACTCATGATACATTAGTGTGATATTTATTGGGATGAATCTTCCTTACACTGGTGGTCATTGGTAAAAATTACCCGCATTCAGCTAGCTAAAATGATCAATGGTGTTAATGGGAACTTATCAGAGAGGCAGAAATTGCTCATTGCTCGGTGTATCCCTAGCAATCTCTGGAGGAACCCTAGGGTTCCATGGAACCTTGGTTAACCTATTGTCTGTTAACCTCCCGGCTTAACAGCTGCTGAGATATCTATCATACAGGGAGTGTATTGTTTTCAGTGTGTTGGTAGACTGTCCACTGTGCAAGTGCAGTTGCTCCAGAGTTTAGTAAATAAGGGGAAGATCTGCTGACTGTTATCATCCAATCATGTGCAAGCAAAAATGCTGTTTTTTTTCCTTGAATGCGATTGGATATTCTTTTCAAAATGAAGCTTCATCTAATTTACTAAGCTCTGGAACAACTGCACTTGCAAATTACACAGTCTATTTGCCTTTAGTAAAACAACCCCATTGACTTGCATTGTGAGAAGGAGCGGTAAAGCACAACTCTTGTGTAAATCTGCAAATCAGAACGTAGAGGCTACATATCAAATGAGTGACTATGACTGCCATCAGGTACATATTTCATTACACATAGAAACAAGATATAAGAAAATATTTGCACACAAATTATTTACACTATGCTGATTTTATTTACATGTGTATGAGAAAGTTATAAAAAAGACTTGACCTTCCCTTTAAGAATACACATGGATATAAGCCTATGGTATGAGACTGATCCTGCCTGTAATCCAAGCCCAGCAGATATAGATGCAGACTGACCTGTGCCTGGAATGTCATTTTATTTACCCATAATGGGGGTAATAATGGTCTAGGCGTGCAGGACCTCCGCCTCCACAGATCTGAACCTGACCTCCAATTAGTGTCAGCGGTAATCAGGGTAAACGTAGGGCTGGTGATAGTAACAGAAAGTCGATCGTAAACATTAGCAGGCAAACATGAAGCACAGAGATTAATGTTCTCTTTATCCTGAGTCATAGGAAAAAATTTTAATGGATTAAACAAAGTAATTGGCAATCAAAAATGCTTTGGCGAGATCATCTTACATTCTGAACATAGCTGAGACAGAAGACAAATAAAGCCGATTGTTATTAAGCTTTAAGGGCCAGTCCACCCCAAACCTGATGTTTGAATTTATTTGGATGCTGGAGAGGTTAACCACCTTACTCAAGTTGTGGGAACTCTGTACTTAAAGTGGGAGGCACGTTAAAACCTAACTAAGCTTAAATCTACTTCCACCCCCATTTTAAACCTATTCTATCTACCTTGTAAAAGAAAATATGTTTGTACTTACCTAGTCTGAAGTCGCTCTGATCCAATTACTTGGTCTCTCCAGTGCTGGCTTCAGTGTTGAGAAGGGATCATCGACAACGGTTGCAAAGCCTATGCGATAAATAGTGTACATATGGTGCAGAGCTAAAAATAAAAAAAACAATATTAAATTATTATAAACTATAAAAAGAACCAATGGGATCTAAAAAAGTGCAAGCAACTACAGTGCAACTCAGTGAATATATCAAAAAAGGGTTCATAAATACAACCCTGGATGCAGTGAAAAAAATAATAAACACAACCCAATCCCCAAATGGGATAATACGTACCAAATTGTGTCAAGAAAGTGGAACCCAAAAATTGGGATAATCATAAAGTGACAAGTGCTGAACCACAATGTATAGTGTATACACAATACACGCAGTGAAAAATAAAAAAATGCAAAACACAATAAATATGTGTGGTGAGACAATCAAAATATATACAATGAAAAAAACAATTCCTGTGAAAAATAATCAAATATAATAAGGCAGCAAAAAGTCCAGTAAAGTTCAATGATAGTGTTGTTGGAATCCTCCCCACAAAAACAGTGCTCCGCTACCAACAAGGAACTGGTGCCGTGCGGTGTGCACTCCAAACAAATCCAAAAATGGCTAAAATGCCCGCTCACCTCCAACAAGTGACCCTACGGGCCAACACTCTTTTTAGATCACACCAAGATCCTATGATATAGATCTCCTTAGTAGCCGATCTCCACATACACAGGGTTCCAATTATACCATATAAGATATCCCCTTCCTGGATCGATAGGCAGGTCTTATTATCTCCACCTTACTCACAGAGATATAGCCCAGCTCTCAGAAAAAATCATGGCTGTAACATCCTTTTCCTGGGTCCATTAAGAGCTACAGAAAGCCTTTATCCTTTGAGTTATACTGCTGACCTGAGGAGGATTGGACACTTATAGCGCCCAAGTTCTGTTTAGTTGCACCTTCTCAGGCTAAGGCGTAGGCGGATGGAATTTCGAGAAGTTACTCGCACATGTCAAATCAGGGCCCGACGCATGCGCAGCAATGTCCCAAAATTGCATCTGTCTTGTACACATGCGTCAAATCAAAGCCCGACACATGTTCAGTAAGGTTCCAAAGTTCTTTCTTCGCTACTGCGCATGTGTCAGACCAGGATCCGATTTGACACATGTGCAGAAGCGGCCGGAATTTTGGGACCTTACTGTGCATGCGTTGTGTCCTGGTCTGACGCATGCGCAGTAAGGTCCCGAAATTCTGTACACCTACTGCACATGCGTCGGGTCTTGGTCTGACGCATGCGCAGTAGGCGGATGGAAATTTGTGACCTTACTGCGCATGCGTCGGAACGTGTCTCGATGCATGCGTAGTAAGGTCTCAATATTCCGTCCGCCTACTGCGCATATTCTTCAAATCGGGACCCGATCCATTTTTGTGGATCTTTTCTTTTTTAACCACTTAAGGACCGCCCTATAGCACTTTTACTGCTACAGGGCAGCCCTCTTCTGCAAAATCGCACATGTATACACTATATTGCCAAAAGTATTGGGACGCCTGCCTTTACACACACATGAACTTAATGGCATCCCAGTCTTAGTCCATAGGGTTCAATATTGAGTTGGCCCCGCCCTTTGCAGCTATAACAGCTTCAACTCTTCTGGGAAGGCTGTCCACAAGGTTTAGGAGGGTGTCTATGGGAATGTCTGACCATTCTTCCAGAAGTACATTTGTGAGGTCAGGCACTGATGACAGACGAGAAGACCTGGCTTGCAATCTCTGTTCTAATTCATCCCAAAGGCGTTCTATGGGGCTGAGGTCAGGACTCTGAGCAGTCTAGTCAAGTTCCTCCACCCCAAACTCGCTCATCCATGTCTTTATAGACCTTGCTTTGTGCACTGGTGCATAGTCATGTTAGAACAGGAAAGGGCCATCCCCAAACTTTTCCCACATGAAATTGGAAGTATGAAATTGTCCAAAATGTCTTGGTATGCTGACTCCATACGAGTTCCCTTCACTGGAACGAAGGGGCCAAGCCCAACCACTGAAAAACAACCCACATAATCCCCCCTCCAACGAACTTTATACTTGGCACAATGCAGTGAGTTAAGTACCGTTCTCCTGGCAACTGCCAAACCCAGACACGTCCATCGGATTGCCAGACAGAGAAGTGTGGTCCGTCACTCCAGAGAACACGTCTCCCCTGCTCTAGAGTACAGTGGCAGCGTGCTTTACACCACCGCATCCGATGCTTTGCATTTCACTTGGTGATGTAAGGCTTGGATGCAGCTGTTTCCCATTCCATGAAGCTCTCACTGTTGTGCTCATCTGACTCTGCAGACAATTGGTGACTTCTGTACACTGTGTGCTTCACCATGCGCTGACCCCTCTCTCTCATTTTACGTGGCCTACCACTTTGTGGCTGAGTTGCTGTCATTCTCAGTTGCCTCCAATTTATTATAATACCACTAACAGTTGACTGTGGAATATTTAATAGCAAGGAAATGTCACAGATGGACTTATTGCACAGGTGGCAACCTATCACAGTACCACGCTTTAATTCACTTAGTTCCTGAGAGCGACCCATTCTTTCACAAATGTTTTGTAGAAGAAGTCTGCATGCCTAGGTGCTTGATTGTATACACCTGTGGCCATGTAGGTGTTTTGGCAATATACTTTTGGAAATATTGTGTGTGTATATATATATATATATATATATATATATATGAAAAAGTCTACACACCCCTGTTAAAATGTCAGGTTTCTGTGATGTGAAAAAATGAAACAAAGATAAATCATTTCAGAACTTTTTCCAGAGGAGTGTGGAGGGTGTGACAGAGGGAAGTATGTACAGGAGAGGAGTGTGGAGGGTGTGACAGTGGGCAGTATGTACAGGAGGAGTGTGGAGGGTGTGACAGTGGGAAGTATATATAGGAGAGGAGTGTGGAGGGTATGACAGTGGACAGTATGTACAGGAGAGGAGTGTAGAGGGTGTGACAGTTGGAAGTATATACAGGAGAGGAGTGTGGAGGGTGTGACAGTGGGAAGTATGTACAGGAGAGGAGTGTGGAGAGTGTGACAGTGGGCAGTATGTACAGGAGAGGAGTGTGGAGGGTGTGACAGTGGGAAGTATGTACAGGAGAGGAGTATGGAGGGTGTGACAGTGGGAATTATGTACAGGAGAGGAGTGTGGAGGGTGTGACAGTGGGCAGTATGTGCAGGAGAGGAGTGTGGAGGGTGTGACAGTGATCAGCATATACAGGAGAGGAGAGGAATGTGGACTAAAGGATGATGGGTAGTATGTGCAAGAGTGGAGTGTGGAGAGTATGAGAGAAGGCAGTAAGTGAAGCAGAAAAATGCTCAGAATACGGAAGTGAGGAAAGTGATGGGTACGATGTTACTACCATTTTGTACAGAAAAGATGCATGGGAGGTATGGAGGTCTGAGGGTATGGTGGTGGGTCTTACTTTATGTGCCACCTGTAGGTTTTACTGTTGTCAGCAAGGATGTCTGTCAGGTGAGGTGGGGGGTGGAGGAGATGAACCCAGCTGGGAAGGATACCCATTATCTGGGAAGGAGGAATGTAAAGGGTTGGGGAAGGGTGTCCAGGGACTGCGTTGTGGTTATTATGGGGACTGAGGAGAGTTTGACTATTCAAGGAGGGAAGTCTGGGGAGAAGTGTCTGTCAGCTGTGGGGTATGAGGAGGTCCTGCAGGAATATTAGGGGATGGGGGAAGGGAGTGTGAAGTGACTGTGTGGGGGAAATATCTATGGGTGAGGGTGAGTCAGTTGGGGAAAGAGGACTTTCAGTTGTGGTGTCTGTGGGGTGACCAGGTGTTCAGTGAGGGAAAAGCAGCGATGGAATAATGTATGTCAACTGGGGGGTAGGGAGTTGCTAGTAGTGATGCCTGTCAGTAGAAGGTATGGGGAGGCCTGGGGTATGCATGTATGCTGGGGGGGGGGTGAGAATGGGCTGATGAATGATATCTGTTATCTATGGGTTGGGAAATGGTCGATCAGTGATGCAAGTTGGGGGGTAACATGGGAAAGGGCTGGGGAGTGACATCCTGGGAAGTGGGGAGTGTGAAATGGATGATGTATGTCGGATTTTATCTCTTTCACATCTGTGGTAATGCTTACCACCCTCTGAAAAACAATCTGTGATCACTTTTCAGCGTTCCATGAGTGTGACGGGCAATTTGTGACAGTTAGCAACTATGCTTATACTTGCAATGATTTTATGATAAATACACAACTGCGCCCAATGATTTTCTTAAAATCCACCTGGAGTTCAGCTTTAGGTTGTCTAATTCAGAACAAACAGAACCCGTGCCACAGCTACCCTCAAATAATTAACGTACGCAAAACTGCTAATCCAAACGCACTCCAATGTGCTGCTCAAGATATATACTATGTGGCAGCACTATGTGCAATACTGACATGCAAAAAACACTAACATATCACACAAAGTGCATACAAAACAGGGGCGGACTGACCATTTGGAAACCTGGGCACTGCCCGAGGGCCCGGGGTCAGTAGGGGGCCCCATTAGATGCCCCTGGTACCTTTCTCATAGGCTTTTTTGAGTTTGGGCAAGGACACAGGGGCCCCATGATCCCCTATTGCCCGGGGGCCCCATGAGTTGTCAGTCCGCCCCGATACAAAATAAGTGTTTTCAAAATGCAAGTACATCCAAAAATAAAGTGCATATGCAAGTCCCAAATCAAAATGTCCTGTACTTAATTCATACAACAATAATTATCAAAGAAGTGTCCACTGAAAAAGTGCTCCGTGTTCTTATTGCACTCCTCTCCAATGATTCACAAAGTTCTTTTTTTTGTGAAGGGAATCACCCCCATGCCATTACCTTCCCCACAGAAGACTCACCGGATAACCGTGACCCTCTTATTTATATGTGGGTCATAAAGCGTTTGTTCCCCTTTAAGGGAAGGGAAATTGTGGACCACTGCTGCTCTCTCTCCTCTCAATACATTCCACACATAGGTGACACCATTAAAAGGGAAAATCTAGTGATAGGTCATCAGAGCCAAGAGCGGAGACTGCAATATCTAATTCTTCTGATGAAATTGGGGCTTCAGGAAAGTCTCTAATTTCTTCGGGGAGGATCAGTAGGCCTGATTGCTGAAGGTAATTCCAATAGGTAAAGGGGAATGTACCAAATGGGATGCCCAATTCAAGTGTGCCCAGAACAGTAACAGTGCTCTGACACATTGCCATTTTGGTGCATGTCTTGCTCTATATAAGCATACTCGGGAACTTTCAAGTTTGGAGAGCGTGATATTGGGGCAAGGGTAAGGAGTGAGGCAATGGTAAAAGGTAATAAACATGCACAGAGTGCACCATACCAAAATGGAAGCCATGGTATAAAGGTGGCTGCAAAATATGGGGTTAACCGGGGCCGAGACAAGGGGTGGGCAGAAGGGGTAGCTGCCCTGGACGCAATGGTTTACTGTAGGGATGGGGGGGCACCTTCTTTCTGTTTCAAGGCTGACAGGAGTAGTAACAGTGGCAGTGATTTTGACAAGTGAGCAACTGCTGGGTGTAGGATCCCCTAAGCATGCACATCATGAACAGGGGGCGCAGTTTAGCATCTTTGCCCTGGGCGCTGGATGACCTTGCCTAGGCACTGGGGCTAACAGTGCTGTGGTTTAATAGATACTGGTCAACACTGGATTCATTTGTATATTAATATAGTCCTCTAGACCAGCCTTTCTCAACCAGGGTGCCCAGGCACCCTGGGATGCCTTTGGGCTTCTTTAGGGGTGCCTTGGCAAATACCCAAAAATTGTATACAAGCCAGCAGGTGGATCAATCCTGCCTTTTAGTACACAAAGCCACAGGTTTTCATTGTGCACTTTTATGGCCTTCTAGTCGCCAGCATCCTAACCAATGACATCAGTTGATAAGGAGGATGTTGGTTGCATGCACATCATCCTTGTTTGGCCCTCCCCTGCCCCTCTCTGTCAGCACTGGGTTCACATTAGCAGATTGAGGGAGCAAAAATGAGAGCGACACACTGGAATACTAGTCGGTACCAGTGAATTTGCTTTGGAAGAACAAATCACCTTTAAAGTTGGGTGTACTGGATGTGTGTAGCATAGTTTTTTACATTTTAGATTGGGGTGCCCTGAGATTGTGCAGAATTTTGAATGATGCCTTGGGATTATCCACAATTTTAAAGGGTGCCTTGATTGAAAAAAGGTTGAAAAGCACTGTTCTAGACAGACAGCACGGACTTAACAATATGGTGGCAAAATAGAAAGGCATTTCTAACAATGCATGGAAGACAAACAAGCAATTGTTAGAATGCATGGGCAACAAATAGGTATTCATGACAATACACAGGCAATACATGTGCAATCATTACAATATTTGGGCAAAAATGGGCACATATGACAGCACTGGAGTTAAAAATAGGTAATCGTGACAATAAAAAAGTAATGACAATAATAGTGACAGTAGTGATAAGGATGACATAATTCAGTCCACTCCTTTATGAAGCAACTGGTTCCAGCAAATGCTGAGACATGTAATTCCAGAAAGACATATCAGATACAATTCAAACACCCATTTATTAATATTACAACCGTCGCAGTGAATAGGTAAATACGTGGTAACTGCTGGATAAACATGCACACGTCACACTTTGGCTAAGAATACTGGCTAGCAACCTAATCTGACCTAAAAAAAAAAAAAGCCAATGTATCACCCAGGAGCCATGAGTGTAGAGGACAAACATGATATGCTATGCATTACTCCTGGCTATTATTGTGGAGGCTATATAAAGTTCATGATTGTGCTCTGCAGGTAAGATAACATCAAAAAGACCTGACAACGTCTGTATTGCAGCCCAGATTGCATCAAAGTATAAGTTCCCCTTTCATAACATGTTACATGCCACACTCATATTCAGGGTGTAACATGTAACATGTTATGAACAGACCTGGCTCCACTCCCCCTGCTCCCCTGCACTGACAGCTAGCAGGGGGTCTTCTGCTGCTAGCTGTCAAAATGTAAAAAAAAACGTGGCAGTGCAGGGCTCCGCAGTTCTCTGTGAATGGGAAACTACAAGTCCCAACAGCCTTAGCGGCTGTCGGCTTGTAGTTCTCAATGAACTACCACAGAGCTGTGGAGCACCATGGTAGTTCACTGATTCTTCCTGTCAGTATATCTGCTTGCCCATACATCCTGTACAGGCAAGCAGATATACTAACAGGTCTGCAGGAGACCTGCATGGCACTGGTCGCATGTGCAATGGTTTACAGGCTCCTGGAACAAAAAATAATAAATGCACATTTTTTTACCTGCGAAAAAAAAAAATTGTGTATTTAGTATTTTTTAGCAAAAGATGAACTTATCCTATAAGCCAAGGCTAAGCACACAACCATCCTATAAGCTCCCATAATAATGCATGCAATATACAGTATACATGTAGCCATGATCGCCTAGCAGCCCTTTGGCAAACAAGCATGAAGCTTGTTTTACTGGTCCTGATCTGGCTTAAGCTGGCCATAGATCAAAATTTGGCTGGTTCAGCAGTGACCAGGGCCGGATCTAGCCTGTCTGATGTGGGGGGTGCAGTAAAATATGTCAGGGGGCA